GTCTTATTATATATATAAATATTATATTTAGTTATATATATAATTATAATATATATATTATATATATAAGTATATATATATATATATATAGTATATAATAATATATATATATATACAGTCCGACCTCCTTTATCCGGCTCTATATCTTATTATATATATATATATATATATAATATTATATATATTATATAGATAGATGAGATAGATAGATAGCATAGATAGATTAGATAGAATAGATAGATTAGATAGATAGATAGATAGATAGTTAATAGATAGATAGATATAGATAGCATAGATAGAAGATAGATAGGATAATAGATAGAGTATATAATGAATTAGAGTAGATAGATAGATAGATAGATTAGATTAGATAGATAGATAGATAGATAGATAAGATAGATAGATACGACTAGATAGAGTAGAAGTAGATAGACTAGATAAGATAGATAGATAGATAGAATAGATAGATAGATAATAGAATAGATCGATATAGAATAATAATAGATAGATATACTTCCTATATGAGTAATCTCTATTGCAAATGGCCGTAAGTACCAACTGGACTGGCATATATATATAGCAAGGGCTGAGAAACAGATGACGTTGCTCTCGACCATAAATCCTAAAACGTCGTGTCGCGCTCTAATCATTATTTACGAGAAAGTAAACGCGCGAAAAGAGCCCATATTTCTTTCTCGCGTTGGGGCGGAATGTGTTAAAATATTAGATTAAACCGTTAAGAAGCGCCAGAGCTAGTAGTCTGTCGAGGGGTTGCTATATACGGCACAGCTGCCCACCAGCTGCGCATGCACACCGATAGCGCACTAGAAGTGTTGTTTAGTAACGTGCCTCCATCCATGGTGGACCGCTGATGGAACCGCGTATATAACCACGCAGGCAATTAATAATAGCTAGCGAAATATGACTACACGGGGAACAATAATTTATAATAGCTAGCGTATTATGCGTACGCAGGGAACTATACTTGACAATAGCTAGCGTATTATGCGTATGCAGGGAACAATAATTGACAATAGCTAGCGTATTATGTGTACGCAGGGAACAATAATATGTTCGTGTCATGAGTTTACTACAACATGTTTCTAATCTTTCACAACAGATGGCGCTAGGGTGAGCATTTCTTTCGCAATAAACATTTTTACGATATGATCTCACAGCAATTAAGTACAACTACGTCAAGTTACGTCACCATCCGTGCAACATGCGTAACGCAATACTCTCTATGTGGCAGTCATGGCATCTACGTACACGACACCCTAAACTATCTATAGAAACGAACATCGATCAGACAAAGATTAAAGTTATATTCGATCGTGTTTATCGTTAAGTTACAATCGATAGTGATATATTTTACATGTGACTTTCATCGTGGATAAGATTATAGATTACCGAAACAGACAGCAACATTTTAGGGAAAATTAATACGTCAACTCGACAGCTGCATGCATGCGCTCTGCCGCCCTACTAATGATAAATCATTTCTCCGTCGGTCTTCTGCTGCAGCTTCGCGCCAATCCCTGCCCAAATATTAAATAGTCTAGGGGCCCGTTGTCAGAAACATCGTAAAGTTAATGCTACGATAACACTTACGACTAATGCTAATGTTGCGAGACTAGGCCTAGCATTGACAGAAACACATCGCAGCTATTAGAAAACTTACGATAACAGGAACTTCATCACAAGGCTGCTGATTGGATGAGAATCAATCACAAAATTCAAAATTCATACACATTTATTGTACATCACAGTAATTTATGCATATTATGATGGCTAACCACATATAAATAATATTTGATGAAAAACGACGTGGTCATGAATTTATTCTGCACAACAAGACAAATTCTCACACTGTAACGCGAGAATCGTGGCAAGCGTGGAAAACATTTAGAACAAGAGAACAAATGCCATACGCCATTTGTAAATGTATTGTTTTGTTTTATTAGCGGTAGATAATTAATGATTTTGACGTGTTTTTCAAGAAAAACACACATTTTATTCATTATTATAAAATATAATATCACTATAATTGTAATTCGTAGTGTAGGCTAAATGTGTTATTTTCAACTTTATATTAAAGTTACGAGAGGGTCTGAGCTCTCGTAATGTTATGAGGATATTTGCAAGGATTTTTCGTTCTCGTAACCTTACGATGTTTCTGTCAACGGTTTACGAGTGGAAGTTAATGGTAAGACTAATGTTGCGACTAATTTTGTTTCTGACAACGGCCCCCTAGGTGTCTAACTACAGCGCCACTCCACATCGTCTGGCGACGTTCCCGGGAGAACCCTGTCGCCACCGTTGTCCCGAAATAGGAGCTACGACGCTCTCTGCAGCTGCCTCTCGTATTTTATCAACTCAGCGCCGCTGTTTAATCACATATTTTATTATTGTTTTTATGCGCGGGCCTCGCGGCCAATATTATACAAGAGTTTTTAATCTCTAATTCCGGATCGGGGTTTTTTGTGTGTATGTAAAGTGGGAGGTTGAAGCGCAGACATACGCGCGCGCTTAGTTTGTAGATAGTTACCAGACCGCGGTTGAATCTCTCCTTAGATTTAATTAAATACTCGCCGAGCGAGCAATGTGCTCGCCAGATCCATGCAAGTTTTTCACGGTCTAGATAAGTTGGTTTGAGTGGGTACATACGCGTTGTTGTTTACACAACAGAATGTCTTGCCCGATGATGCACGGCGCGACCTTGTCTACATCCGCTAGATCCGGAATAAAAAAAATGGATCCGGATGGAACTGTATTATGATAAGCCTGGCGGGGATTAAATAGCAAGGTATTTGCTTTTTTTACTTCCTGCGGAATCCCCCGTCGTTTCGTTTTCGCTCTGCCAATTATTTTCTCGTTTAGTTTTTCTTTCACCCCATCGAGGATGACGACTGGAATTAAGGTCTAATGAATTGCTAGTTGTAGCAATCACATATTTTAGTCTAGTGCCATAGTCTAGTGCCTATTTTAGTCTTCGTGCCATTATTTGTTAAGATCTCTAGTGTTTAACAACACGCGATACGCCGCCACGTCATAAAAACACGATATTGTTGAAATATATATGTATCGATTTTCAACTGATGGTAGACGACGGTATTGCCGTTAAACGTGTTAAATGTTAAACTATGAGGGGTTTTAGTAGTTAGCAAGGCGTTAACAGTTCAGCTCTCTATATTCTGTGCATGGCTCATCAACTATATGTGCCTAATAGTGAAAATCTGCTATTGGGTGTGTATCAGTATAACTCCCTATGCTGTGTGTGTCAGTGCAACTTCCAGAGCTCAGTGTGTAACAGTGCATATATGACCTCGCTGAGTCGCTGAGTCGCTGATTCGCTGAGTCGCTGAGTCGCCGAATCGCTAAGTCGCTAAGGCGCCAAGTCGCTAAGTCGCTGAGTCACTGAGTCATTGAGTCACTGAGTCGCTGACTCGCTGAACTCATACTGCGTATATGCAATGGCGCTAGCTGTGACAAAGCTCGATGTTTCAAGACGATACTCCCACGAACCAAAGTATGAGAACTAGAAACGCGTTACACAAAACTTACGCCTACGTATGTACGTGATTTTTTAAGCTCTGGTGCTAAGGTGTGTGCATCATAGATCTCGGCTGCACTGAGGCTCTATAATGCCCCTAGGGGACGCAATGCATTTATGAGCGCTGACTCAGTGGGCTCAGCTGTCAGCAAGCTGATGATAAGCGAAATAAACAAACACTCGCATATATCCATCGCGCACAAGAAACCGCCATTCGCAACGAAACCGCGCAACGTTATTATATATCGCACTACAGAAAAAATCCTCGCAACATACAATTCCCCTCTCAACCTTCGAATATCACATTTAGACTCGTTCGAGCGGGTATTGCCGCCCCACCCCTAACTAACCACACTCGATATCTCAGAGAACAGGCGCCGCGCGGTATTTTTTTTTGTTTACGGCACCCTAGACTATTATCCCGACGTGGCCCATCAGTGACATCTGCGGAAACGGTCGCCGTGGCAACGCAGCTGCTCGGCCCGACTCTGATTTCTCTGTTACCGTCCTCCCCGGATGACGGGGGTGTGGGATATCCAATGTCCTCAGCTGAATATCGGCGTAGCATCAGCTGGATTTGCTCATAGAGTTGCTTGGCAAGTGTCGTAGATATGTGACGGAGCAATCAGTTAAGACTGAAATACGACCCAAACTATGTGTGTGCGTGCGTGCTTTTGTGCGTGAGTGGGCGGCCACTGGTGACAGCAGTTACTTCTATGTACGTTTTTTTAAGACGATAAGTTGAGATCATATGTGTTCAGTTGGCTCTGTTCCAAGTGCTTGTGATATAAGTTTGTGCGTGCTCTATCCAGCGCTGCGCACATCGCGCGCAAGACTGCATTGCAACAGGGTATTATATACTGAGCACGTCAATTCCAAGCACGCACACACACGCTCACGTGCGCACACACACGCACGCACGCGCGCACGCACGCACACACACACACACGCGCGCGCGTTATCATGATAGTCATAGATCATAGGTCATAATCATCATGGTCATAAGTCATAGGTCATAATCATCATGGTTATAGGTCATGGGCATAATGGTCACAGGCCATAGGTCATAATCATCATGGTCATAGGTCATGGTCATAATCATCGTGGTCACATGTCATAGGTCATAATGGTCACAGGTCATAGGTCATAATCATCATGGTTATAGGTCATGGTCATAATCATCGTGGTTACATGTCATAGGTCATAATGGCCACAGGTCATAGGTCATAATTATCATGGTTATAGGTCATGGTCATAATCATCGTGGTCACAGGTCATAGGTCATAATCATCATGGTCACAGGTCATAGGCCATAATGGTCATAGACCATAGGTTATGATCATCATGGTCACAGGTCATAGGTCAAAATGGTCATGGTTAGGGTATCGAGGTGTTTAGGTATGGTGGAACCGCCGCGTGTGCGTAATGATGCCATGAATGCACTCACCAGAAATGGTGTGATCTGATAAAGATCTCTCCATCCTCGTACGGCGACTTGCCCACGGCGCAGCCGAACTTAAACGCCTCGGCCGTCTTCACCAGATACTGATGCGTGTGCACACCTGTTGGAGCATGGCATAGGAAAGATGATACGACTATGAGATACCGATTGAGATGGCAGACGCCATAGAAAATGCCTACCCAGCTTGAGATAGGATTATCTGTCCTTCATTTTACTAGTGATTTAGTTTAGCAAACCAGGCTGAATAGGCGAAGTATTAACCCTAATGCTAAACCTGACCTTAAAGCACTCTTAAACAGAGTCCTATTCCTAACCCCAATCGTAAACACATCGGTAACCCTAACCCCAACGCGTTTATAATTACATCACGCAATGTTTCCTCGCAATTTCTTCTGACTACTGGATGGATGTCTTTCAGAAAGCTGATATCGTTGGTTACTATAACGTACCTAGTGGTAGGCCGTCAATGTTCACACCATCAGGCACGCACGTGCCGTGGCTCAGCGCCACCTGCTGGTTCTCCCCGTCTGCCACGTGGTCAAGCCGACAGATGTATCCCTCCGCGCAGTCCGGAACTACATCTTCTCCTTCTACTCGCACTGTGCTGCATTTTTTACCTGAAGCCATACACAAATCGATCTGTCGACGAAGTATGTTAACATTCCTGACTTACATACTTTGTTCATCTTGTGTGTAAAACATAAAAGGAAAGCGCGATAAGAAAATAATGCGGAAGCATTCGCCAAACATGCGATGCTCGCTGCAATGCAATGCATATTACGGATACCAACAAGAACGAAATAATGATTATTGTCTATATCAGTTGAAATCAAGGTCAAAGATTTGTGAATTGGTAAAAGTTGTAAATAAAACCGGTTTTCAATAGCATACCAAAATGCACTTCGAGTATAACTATGATTTTACAAAATTTTATACAACGCCGCAGATGGCAATGTATGCGGGTATACGGAGTTGTTGCTAACATAGATCTCGCAGCGTGTGTTTTGTGTTACAACTCACCTGGGGGACGGTACAAATCATATTTCCCATTGACTAGCCAGGAGTCTCCTAAAAAAAAAAAAAATAAATAATTATTAAGCATTTGTTGTTGTCGCCTTCGTGTCGTGTTGTTGTTGTCGTCATCATCGTCGCGTCTCGCGTCGTCGTTGTTGTTGTTGTTGTCGTCCTCATCGTTCGTCGTTAGTTCGTTGTTGTTGTGTTGTTTTTGTTTTGTATTGTCAGTCCTAATGTCGCGTGTCGTCGTACGTCGTCGTTGTTTTGTTTCGTCCTATTGTCCGTGTCGTGTCGTCGTCGTCGTGTTGTGTTGTGGTCTCGTGCCGTCGTGTCGTCGCGTTGTTGCTTTCCCGTCCTCGTGTCGCCTCGTTCGTCGTTGTTATGTTTGGTTTTGTTTTGCATACCGTCGATTGTAAACACATTACAGAAAATAAAGACATATACTATAATTATGCATCCTAATAAGTATTTCAAGATAAAACTGTCTAATTTTAAAGTATCTCTAACCCTACAGCCCCGTTTTCCACATTTGCCTATGTCAAATTAAATGCATTTTATGTTTACAGTTATGTAATCATTACTGGTACCTCTGTTCTGGTTCATACTCACCCAGTCAATACTGTAAAAGAGAGAGTCATATATGTACGCCGCTTGCAGTCCCTCATCTCCATTTATGGTTGAGAGAAATGAAATATAGAATAACTGAACGGGGAGCAGATAACGAGACTGGTAAAAAGACGCGGGGCGAGAGAGGGAGCCAGGAGACAGAGAGAGACGAGACACAGATATAGAGTAGAAGAGAAGAGAGAGAGAGAGGAGGACGAGAGAGAGAGTGAGGGAGAGAGGAGAAGAGAGAGGAATAGATTGGCACAGAGAGTGAGACGAAGAGCGCGCGGTGGTGGGAGTCGATAGTTACTGCTACGACAGAGTTGTAGCGCAATCACGTAATCTACAATCCCGCAGACAACGTGCGTATATTCCGGCCTATACTTACACGAACATCCGAAGCAATGCGTAATGAAAATACACAATCACACGCACTCCGCACGCACTGCAGGCCACGCCGCACGCACGCACGCACCAGGGGCGCGCAGGCACCGCCACACACATCCCGCTACGACGCACGCACGCGACGACAACGCCACTCGCACGCAGTAGACAGGACTCCGCTCGCCGCGTCCCGTCCGCACCGCGGACGCACACGCACCGAACAACAACACCCACCACAACCACACACACACATGTGAGTATCTATAGTATATGTGTGTGTTGTGTGTGTGGTGTGTGTGTCGTGTGTGTGTGTGTGTGTGTGTGTGTGTGTGTTGTGTGTGTCGTGTGTGGTTTCTGTGTGTGTGTGTTGCACGCTGCTCCCCGTTCACACCATAAGACGGGTTCGTTGGCTGAGTTGGAGCTGGGTCGTTGCTGTGATAATCCGTAGTTAATGATGTAGACATATGATTAATCTGACTGCTGCCACGACGGACCGGTATTATGACAGCCACCAGCAGCCGTGCGGGCGTCTCCTTAAAATAGGCGGGCTAGTCACGAGGCCAAACATACGTACAGAACAACAGGGGCGATGCTAGTAGCCTAGTAGTATAGTCTCACTGCGCTCGAGGTACTGGAAA